GGAGTGTCTTGGTGAAGAGGAACGCCAAGTTTTGCGGCATGGGTCTGGCTTGTTCGGGGTCTGGAAAAGCCGATTGGTCTTCAGACTGCTGTTCTCGTTGTTTTTCTGAACCGAAAGCATCTTGTCGCTGCTCTGCGCAACGCCTGCTGCATTTGGGTCTCCTTCACCAGGCAGTGCGTTCTTGAGAGCGGCGATCTCCTTAGATGCCAAGACCACCGGTTAAGATCCTGTGAAGAATCCTTAATCAAAAAAACCGGCTCTTGGCTCCGCAAGGCTGCGAATTAGAGAAGCGAACCTTTGAACATTGCTGGCAGGGTTTGAGGGTCCTGTCGTTTTGGCTTGGCTGGAAAATGTTTATGGTAATTCTTCCGTTGGTTTTGTGTTTTTTTGCGCTTTGGGCTCCGGGATGTAGTGTACTTTAGGTAGGTAGAGTTCTGATTATTTTGAATGTGCTCTTATTGGTCGAAATAGGATTTCTGTCACATTTCAGTAGAATGCCTAAAATGATACCCCTCCCCCCCCCCCCCCCCCCCCCCCCCCCCCCGCCCTCCCCCCCCCCTCCCCCCGCCTCCCTCCCCTCCCCCCCCCCGCCGAAACCGACAATAGCGCTGATGGTGACGATGCTGCTGATATTGACAACGTTGATTAAGTTCGTAAGTGATAATACTAGCAATGACGACGACGATGACGGGCTGATGATGACGTGCAGGCGCAAACTATGCGGATGATAATGACAATGATGTTGTTCAGTGAAACAGGCATGAATGAAGGAACCAAATATCGATCTCTCAATGTTGATCTCCGGCTCAAAACGATGATGATGCTGACAGTAACGATGTTGAGGATAAGGCTGGTTCCAGGACATTGAAGAATGTTGATGACGCGGATGCAAAGTAACGACGCTTGCAAATTTGCCAGCACACCATACGCATGAATCGGGAAGAGCTCACTTTGCTGTGAGAAGGATCAATATCCCCCCTAAACAGCAAAATAACTGCGCAGCTCACTACTTGAGCCTGCTCCAACTACAATGCCAAAGCAACTACAACTCAAGCCTATCTTGTGCTAGCGCTTATGAACTTATGATACTTATGATTGCGTTGTCATTGACCTCAGTCCTACCAAACTTCGTGCTTGGTTCCGTCTGCTACGAATGTCTGGTGCGTCGACGCAAAGCTGCGGTTCCGAAGAACAGTGATCGTTCTGTCGGTGCTTCTGCAGGCGATGGTCCCCTGGCTATCTGTCATCCAGAAACGGTTGACCTTAAGCCTTAAACGAAGGCAAGCTCAACAACTTGGCTCGACAACCAGGCCCCCGGCCACGAAACGGGGAGCGCTGCAAGGCTCGGAAGGTCCCAAGATGCGAGGAATTTAGGGAAATGCCGGGTGGAGGGAGCTTTGCCACAACCACCGACAAGCTGAACATTTTGGCTGAAGGCGAGGCGCTTGCAGCATCCACTGCCGGCACGGACTGACTGGGGGGCATCTTGGCAGGGATCGCTGGTGCGATCTGCGTCGCGTAGCCCAACTGGCCAACCAGTCCGGTGACCTGCAAACGGGCCAAGACAAGGCGGAGGCGGGCATAGTCCAAGGGGCTGATTCCTCATAGGCCCGTCACTTTGCTAACCTGGACCTGGAGACTGGCGGGCCACTGACGGTAGGTGAGGCCGCGGGAATTGCCTGCCCTGCTTCCTGCTCCGCCTGAGACAGGCCCTCGAAATCAGCTGCACAGGGAGCTACTTGATGACAAGACCCAAAGTCGCTGAAAGTTTTTGGCACTAGAACCAAAATGGCACGAGTTCAAGGACACATAGGCTTGTACAAGTACAAGCAACGTCTTGCGTCTAACGCCAAAAGACTCGAATATAGTTTTACTCATTTTATGGATTCTTATGGTTAGTTTGATAAGGCTCCGATTACTTACCACGGATTTAGCCTCGGAGCGCGAAAAGACACGAAGGAACGGGATTGCTACAAGCCCCCGGAATGTGCCCCAATTAAGGATCCTATGAAAATCAGTAGGACTCTCATTTAAAACTATTTGGACATCAAGAAGAAGAATTCGAGTGCAAAGACGGAGAAGAATTTATATATAACAACGAAAAGAATACCAACAAACAATAACATGGACCTCGGCTTTGGCCCCCCAGGGATCCGAGAGGGCACCAATGTTCCCTCCTCAGTCCGGTCTCTCTCCACCCCTGCATTGTGTTCAGGGTAAGGTGTGTAACGGAAACCGAAGGGAATGCAACGAAATTAAACCGAAAACCGAAACGGAAAGCAAGAAAAATGGTAACGGAAATCACGCCCGCAAGCCTAAACCCTAAAGCCTAGACCCTAAACCCTAACCCCTAAACCCTGAAACAAAGAACACGTGTTGGTTTCTGCTACGCCCCGGCAAGGTTTCTGCAACGGTTTCAAGCCGGCAGTTTCCGTTACAACCCGCCAACTCCGTAACAGACTTTACTTTTGTGTTAAGAATCGAAGGCGCTGTGACCCGACCCTTCCGCATTTCGGAGGAACTCGGTTTCCTCACCGAGACCAGGTTTACAAGGATCCGACCCATCTCATGAATTTATGGCCTCTGGCAAGGGCAATGCCCCACGCAGAAGAACTTACCTGAGCGCCACCGATACGAGCAAAAGTGACACTTCTGGCCTAGCCCGAAAGCCCCTTCTCAAAGTAATTCTCCAAAGAGCCTTCAACTCCGTAACGAGTCTCATTCATGAACCTCATCAGCCTAAGCAGTCCTTTAACTCGGAAGCTCAGGCTGTTGTTTTCTTAGTGCGAAGAAAGTAGACCAAAGCAGGCCTGTCATGTTGATCTCTTTCGTGAAGATCGATTGACCTACAAGTAGTTAAGGACTGAACAAGAACGGTACAATATCATTATCTCAGAAAAGATCGTGCTATGAACTGTTACCGTAGTGTGCTTAAAACCAAGTGTCGTGGTCATGCTCATACTTGCGCTTGAGCTCCTCGAGGTACTCGTCCGCGCCATAGAAGATCGAGGCCTTGCTGTGGGCCTGGGCCTTGCCCTCCTTGGCCAAGAGCCGCGCGCGGGTCGCCATAGATGCAATGGCGGTCGAAAATTTAAGTTGTGCTTGGTCCCAAATCTTCAATCGCATGACAGATGCAGATTCTGATTGCTGCACCAGGGAGAATCATCAATGAGCTACATGGTCAGAGAAAAGAGGAGAGAAGAAACAGAGGCTGCCAGTAGCAGCTGCCAACAGCAGACAGACTAAAGTTGAGTCACTGAATAACTACCGTGCGCCAGGCTGGATGTTGTAGCAACAGGTTCAGCCGGAAGTCGCGGCCGGGAGGACACCCCCTGGCCACGCCGAGTCAGCAAAAAAGCCGGTAGCTTTCCCAGCTCTGCTCAGTTGGGAAGAGCTGTTTAGCAACTGATGCGAGCTGCATGCTCCCACAGCTCTGTAAACTAGAGAAAATACACAATATCCCAAGGGCCTACCGAGGTTCTAAGAACTGACAGAACACACCCTGGCCCTGGACCCGTCAGCCCAGCCTCGATGACGTCAGCGAAGCCTCCTGCTCCTACCATGATATGTCGCATCCGGTTTAGGGTTTAGGGTTTGGGGTTTAGGGTTTAGGGCTTAGGGTCAACTAGCGGGTGCCAAGGTTTCCCCTGTCGATGCTCCTGTGCCGTAGACCTCGTTCAGGCGATGGCTAAAATCTGACCACTCCTTTCGGCGAGGCTCCCAAGAAGACCTGGAAGCACATCGTGAAGCTTTCTATAACTTCTCTTGGGCCACAACTTGCACGTCGCCGAGGTGCCTCTGAGTTTGGGCACCCGATCGAGGAGTCACAGGCAAGCTCCTTTGCACACCATTGGGATCTGTCAGAGAGCTCGTCCTCGACATCAAAAGAGAGGCGGCCTAGGCCGTCTGGAGCATGGCGACGGAGTACGGGAGGACCTCACACTCGGGGCACACATGTGAGCGTTGTTTCGAGGTGCCTCTGGATATACACATATATACATATATATATATATATACGTATTCTTTGTGGGCCTTCCCAGAAGCCCGGAGTAAGAACTTCTTGGGGACGGCCTGCATGTGCTTTCGTGTTGCCAAGGGAGTAGGTGCCGTGCACACATGAATCGGCATCAGGAAGAAGCTATCAATTCATGAATCCGCTGCAGTGAGTACTTCTGGCTTTTCACCTGCCTGCAGAGTGAATCTCGAGAATCCCGCAAGTTGGTCTGCTCCAGCTTCAGGGTGTTATCCTGCGTGGCATCCAGGATCACTTCCACTTCTCCCGGATCAGCAGGCCCGGTTGCAGGTTGCAATTCGGGGGGCCGCGCACCATCGCAGCTCTTTTTTCGACCGCAGGTTTGCCAAATGTACTTTGGCCGGGCACGTCTGCTAAGCCCTACCGCTACACTTGGCCAACATTTCACTCTTCCTCGGCTCCCGGCCGTTCTGCGCAGAAGCCAGAGCCTCTGCGAACCAGGGCCCCCAGCACAGGGCCATAGCTGCCTCCCAGGCGCCGCTCTACCAACATCTAACTCCCTGGACTCCACATAAACTGACCTTCCAAAAGTGCGAATGGGCAAATGCCATTTTTCAGCTGCATTGACTCACTCTCTTTCGAGGCTGCATTTAAAGCATTGGTGAGTCAGGCAGGACACAGGAAGCAGCACGGACACAATAACAACCTGCAAGATGCACCGCGACTCTTTCGGAGCTAGAAACAAGCAGCTTCTTGCGGCTTCCCAAAGATGAGATTGGTGCGAATTCGAAAGCAAGGCGTGCTTGCACTGCAGTGCCCAGAGTTAGAAGCTTGCAGCGCGTTCTCTGACCTAACATTAGCGTCCACGATTCCACAATTTCCAGGCCGCAACATCCGATCGCGCTTCTCAGTTCTTATATTCAGATTCCAACCAAAATCGAAACACAAAGCGACTCTCGTCAAGATGGCGTCTTAGCGTGGAATCAAAACCAGCAAAACATCAGTGCAATCCGGCTGTCGAGCTCCCTCAGTAGCACTCCAGTGGCGCCCAATTCCTTAGAAGGCAGAGAAGACTCCTTTGACTGTGCAGCATGCACCCAGAGACTCCAATACCCCTTAATTAAGGAATAGTCCTTCAATCATACAAGGAACCCTACTATAAATTAAGGAATACTCCTTCATTCGAGGGTATTGGAATCCCTGGGCAAAGGCACGGTGGACCTGACATGGTCTGACACAGGACTCCAGCACCTCTGCCGAGCTTCAGCTTGCGATCATGACCTGGCGCTGGCAGGTTTTGTCCGCGCTTCGGCCTGTCCCTGTCCCCAGCCCCAGCATGCCGAAAAAAAGCTCAGGCGGTGGCCCTGATGGAGCGCTTTGCCGTTGTGCTTCACCTTCACACGGAGGCAGATTGGAGACTTGATCAGCTGGCAACTGCCATGCCGGTGCTGGGCAGCTGAGCACGTCACGATCTTGGGACCTCCGACCTGTCCAGATACACGGAAGTTCTCTATATATATATATATATATATATGTAAATATATATATATACATATATTCCCTTAATCTACATGCCCTCACACGTCCAAACCGAAAAGCGAAACACAGGAGCTATTTCCCCGATGCCCCGCTGCGCCTGAGGCTCTGGGCGCATGCCCTCGATGAGGCGGTCTAAAGCCTGCAGAGAAGACTCGGCATTTTGGCTTTGAACTTGAGATTGTTTTTCCTTTTGTGTTCATTTTTTGTGTTTTTTTTTGGGGGGGGGGGGGGGGGGGGGGGGGTGGGAGAGTGTTTGGCTTGCACACTAAAAAAAAAAGGCTTCTCCGTGTCGCAAGGCTTGCGCATGACAGCAGAAATGCGCCCTGGCTGTGGGAAGCAGCGTGAAGCCGTCACCAAGCCTTGCGGTGATCCTCATTTCGTCGCATCTCAGTCACCTCAGTTCTCCCAGCCCTCCCCGCGGTCAGTTATGGAAGCAGCTACAGAGAACATGGCGCGCACCTGCGCCAGTGCCTGCCGATGTTCGGAGTCCACCTCCATCCTCTCCATGAAGGTCATGGTACTCCTCTTGCGCCGGGCCTCAAAGCTAAAAAAAAACCGGCTCAAAGCCACTGAGCTGCGGCTTAGGGGGTTACATGAGGGTTTAGGGTTGAGGGTCAGTTGAAGGTGCTTGGGGCGCCCTTAAGGGTTTCAGGGTTGCGCCTCAAGGAGCTGTTTCTTCTCGAAGAGCGCGGTGAAGGTGCATGCGCTGCCCGTCTTAGGCGCACTCGCCACCTCAGGCGCCCGTGACTGGGGCCCAAGCTTGCAGAGGCGCTTTACAGCCCCAACAGAAGCCCCCTGAACCCTACACCGCCTAAACCCTAAACCCTAAAACCCTAAAACCCTAAAACCCTAAAACCCTAAAACCCTAAAACCCTAAAACCCTAAAACCCTGAAACCCTAAAACCCTGAAACCCTAAAACCCTAAAACCCTAAACTTTACCTAAACCCTAAACCCAAACTTGAACCTGACTCCGCCCCCCTCTGAAATGAGTCCGCCACGTAGGCACTGAGATTGGCCTGCCGAACGGGATCCATGGCAGCGACCTGGAGGTCGACTGTGCCAAGCTTGGAGCAGGATGTTCCCCCCTTACAGCAAGAGGGATTCCAGTACCCCCTTATGAGAATCCCTATTCTAAGGGCTGTTACTATAAGGGAAACATCCCAAGTCCCCTCTGTAAAGTATACCCCCAATCAAAATAGCAGATTTCCAGCTTAAAGGGACCTTCAGATAAGGACCCTTCAATCTTCAGAAACCTCAGTCAATCGTGTGGGTCAAATGCCAGTCAAACGTCAATGCAGGCTGACTGGAATGCAATGGCATCAGCCTCGCCTGATTCAACGAAAGACGTCAGAGGCAATGAAACAAGACAGCTGATGAGCCAAAGTTGCGGCAAAACAGTGTTGAACACACCCATGTCGTGGAGAACTTTGGCGTTGGTGACAAGAAAAAACTAGGCTCGTGCTGAACCAACAGCCACAGCTCTGCCTGTCGCATGCGAGGTATCACTCCAGCTCGTTCCAACATCTACCCTTCGCGCAAAGTTCGCCACATACCTAAGTCACCACTCGACTCTTTCACTATAGCTCGTATGGTTCATGATGACGGTCGCTTCTTAAACCTTACAGTTGCCTCCGAGTCGCCAAGGCTCATCGCTGAATATGTGCAGGCACGGTGAAGCTTCCATTGCCACCCGCGTCAGGTGCCTACCATCAGACGCAGCAATGCTAGCTAGCCTTGGGCTCAGCTTTGGCTTCCGTCACGTTGGTATGCTTTGAGGGCTGTGGCACCAGTTCCCGTATGATGAGGCGGTTAACTTACACTGCTTCATGGACTTGCTCCTAGCAGACCTGTAGCAACGACGTATTCACCATTGGTATCGGCAGCTTGCCAAGGTTTGAGGATGGTGGAAGTTGTGTCTCAGGGTCCTAAAATTGGAGCACCCCTTTTAACACCCCAACTAGACTCGGATCCCCTTAAAAGGGACCCCCAAAAAGGGTACCCCTATTTTCGGAAACCCCCATGTCTTCGGGTCCTAGCGGCTGATGGATGTCACTGTTAAGACCTCTGGGGCCCACAGTGCTCAAAAAGCAGCCGACTACGAGCCGGAGACATTATTGAAAAGTGTATACACGCATTGCAAAAGTGTATAGACTTCTTGAAAAAGTATACACAACCACAAAACACTTCTCAGAGCAGCTGCCATTGCGTAAACCCAGGTTGAGCCTGGCCTTCCTTCCTGGTCTCTGTAGCGCGAGTCCAGGCGGGGAACATCATGCACGGCGGCCACGCGCAGTCCGGGAAAACGTCTCATCGCGTCCTCACAGCTGATGCATTACAGTAGTAACTCCCTAAACCCTAAACCCTTAGTGTTTAGTGCGAGTGGCAACATACACGACATACGACCTAACAACGCTGAGGACTCCTCGGCAAGGCGCACCGCCACCCTGCCTTTGGGGCCGTCCAGGAGCAGGGCTGTGGAATTGCCCCCAGCGGCTAAAGCCTCGAAGCATTCAAAGCACAGCTACGAGAGCAGACGTGCCGGGGAAGTACATTCATGTCTCATGTAGGACTGCACACGAGCAGCCGAATCCAGCATCTGGAAAGCATCACCTTCCTTCCTGAGCTGTGCTCCAATGTGCAGATGCACCCGAACCGGAAACTGCACAGGGCCTGCGCTGCATTTCCATGACAACCGTTTCAAGCGCAGCTCCCCTAAACCCTACCCTAAACCCCAAACCCTAAACCCCTAAACCCTAAACCCCTAACCCCTAAAGCCTCTCTCAGCCAAGTCACAGTGTCAGAACCTCCCCACACCAGCCTCGCAGCTGCGCAGCAACAGCCGGCGACACGGAGCGCTCCAGGGCCAAGACCCGCCTGCCAAATGCCTATGTGTATGTGCACGTATACATACATAGACATACATGTATGTATATATGTGTATCTATATAGAAATAGATACCGATTCGTTCTTGTGCTTATGTGTCCGCTTCAGTCTTTGCATAAATATAAATATAAATGTGAATATGATGATAAATATAAACAAAATTCAAACATACATAAAACAATATACATGAAATATAGATTGATTCATTCATTCATTCATCCATCAACCCATTCATTCATTCATTCACTCACTCACTCATTCACTCATTCACTCATTCACTCAGTCACTCATTCACTCATTCACTCAGTCACTCATTCACTCATTCACTCATTCACTCATTCACTCATTCACTGATTCACTCGTTTTGTTTCCTTTCCTTTCGCTTCATTCATTCCTTCATTCGTTCACTCTAGTAGATTATAGTACAACATAATATTGGCGCTTCGGAGAAAGTTTAGGGCGCTTCCACATTGCAAGATCGTGGCCTGCCCGGCATTGCGTGAGCCCAAGAGCAAGCTGCGCGTGTGGAGCCTCCCTGGCCCACCCCAGATTCCACGATGACCTGCACTCCTGCAAGCATTGGATGGCCGTAGCTTTGGGGTTTAGGGTTTAAGGTTTAGGGTTTAGAGTTTAGGATTTCGGGTTTAAGGTTTAGGGCTTAGGGTCTAGGGTCTAGGGTTTAGGGTTTAGGGCTTAGGGAGGCATGCTTTAACCAGAACTAGACTCGGTCTTAGATTGTCTTAGATTCTAAGACTCCTTCCATGTCGGCCAGGGTGTGAAAGAGCAAGGCTTCTGATGGCAAGACGGAGCCCGGCAGCGTGGCAAGCACACTCGGCTCAGGGTCCCAACGTGCGACCCCAAGCCGGCTCCACAGCTTCGCAAGAAACTCCGAACGCACCTGAGAGCTCAAGTCAACATCAAGCCACCAGGGAGCATACTCCAGCAGAAAACAGAACAATTACAGGACATTGTCCAAAAACAAGAACACTCAGCACCCGAGAGGAAAAACCCTGCCGAAATTGCCTCAAGGTGTCCCCGGGTGCGGGGCCTTGGCCTGGTGGGCTTCCCTTCGGCAGTGCTATGACCCCCATCTCCAACAACGACAGCGACTCGCAGATCGGCCAAGATGTGGTCAGAAGACTGCCTTCGGCTCCAAGGGCTTCTCGGGCTCCCCCTTGGCCCAGCACTCTGAGACTTAGGGATTAGGGTTTAGGGTTTAGGGTTTAGGGTTTAGGGTCAGGGCACCCACTGAGTGTTCACGATGTGCCCCTCTCTGCCACACAGGGGCTTGGAGAAATCGCATGGAGGCGCAGCGCCGCCTCCGCAGCTCTCAAGTACCGACGCCGAACGCGCGGCTCCTCACCAGCAATCGGAAGTGGCACTCCAACCCTAACCCCCAGAAACCCCTGTAAACCTCCCCCTATAAGCCGCTATAAGCCCTATGATGTTTCCTCTTGGCTAGATGTGATCCAAGGCCTCGCCGGTTGCGGCCCTGCCAGCGCTGGCCGCCGCCGTCTGGAGCCACCGGCCGGATCCTCTAAATGCAAACAGCGTATGAAACACCTTCGAATAGAAGTTGAACTGGGTGGGAGGGGAGAGTGGAAGCTGAGTGAAGCTGTCAGAAGCGAATGACACCCGAAATTTGCCATGAACACACACCTGGGACCGGGCTGCGGCGAGGCCGGCGCTTCCCTGGTAGAGGCCCTCCCCGCCAGCGCGGCCGCGCGTAGACGACGTCGTCATCGGGTGGCGGTGGCCCCACCTGCGGCGGAATCTATGCGGAGCGAACTTTCCGGAGCTGCTCGGCATCCAGCGCAAGCTCCTTGCCTGAGGAGACATTCTCCAAGCCGCTCGCACATGCCGAACCCAGTCGGAGGCTTGCCAGGTGATGCCAGATGGCCTGGCGCTGACCTCAAAAGGCGTCTGCAAATCCACCCGAAACCGGCATCGCGGACATCATCATGCAAGCGCATGACAAAACGGATGCTGCGGTAAGGCAAGGCGCGGGCACGCCTCCTGCCCGGAGGAGTGCCAGGAGGGAGAACAAAGGCCATCCGGAGCCGATGAGCTTGGCAATCCCGCACTCCGAAAGGAGCGCGGTGATCTCTGCCAGCACGGCCCCTCCGTTTACCTGATGGGAGCCGGAAGCACAGCATGGCGACCATACCTAAACATTCCCCCGCAATGATCCCTCATGCTCTCTCCGAACCTCCACAGCTTGCTGCTGCTCTTCGCGGCCCATGCCACAGAGAACGAAGAGTTGCCTCGGACCAATCTCCGTATCTCCACCGCACCCCCACGCATCTCAACACGGGCACAGAAGCGCATGCCCAGTTGCAAGGCCAGGCGGGCAAGGCGACATGGTAGGGACCTTGTTCTAGGATTGTCTGGGATTCTAAGGGGATTTGGGGTTCAGGGATTTAGGGTGTCTCAGATGATTTTCTCACATGTGACTGCTGAAGGAGCTCGAAGGCGAAGTCTTGGAGGTAGAGTGGCTCCAGATGGCTCAGGCTCCCGCCCATCCGTCGCAGACAACGCCCGCTCGGCGGCTGGCATCAAGTCCTCGCTTGCTTGCAACTACACCCCAAGATTGCCAAACCCTAAACCCGAAACCCCAAACCCTAAACCCTCAACCCTAAACCCTACCAGACACAGAGCACTTTGTGCATGTGCATGTGCAGGCAGTTTGCTGGCACAGGTGCCTGCGGTCTGATCTCCAGCTCGGCGACGCTGGGCCAGAAGGTCCACACTCGCAGGGCCCATTTGACCTCGGCAGATCTCAGCAGCGTTTGCCTCTTGGGTCATGAAAACCCTAAACCCTACACCCTAGAAAAACCCTAAACTTGCCCTAAACCCTAACCCGACTCATCCAAGGTGGGAAGTAGGGGTTTTCATCATCACTGCGCCGAGGAACCTTTGGGAGGTCGTCTCCTACGGCAATGGCCTGGCAGCTCCCTGCCAAAGGCACACAAAGGCACACAAAGGCACAGATGATACCTCCGCTGTTCGTCCTACCCTGGGGCTCCAATTCCATGGGCCTGCAAGATGACCATGTACATGCAGCATGTAAGAGCCTCCACATGCTGCTGCAGGCACAGCAAAGGGAAGGAGCCATGCAGACAGAGACATGGCCAGCCGGAGCCATGGACCGACTCGGCATGGTCAAGCCATGGCCGCAGCCCCGCCTATGTGTCTAGAACTCCTATGAGTGTTTACGAAAATAGGGCGCCCCCGATGTAGATCCCCAAATGGTAGGATCCCTTTATATTAAGGACCCCAACAAAGCACCCCCTAATTTCGAAACCCCTAGAGGCCATGATGGCAAGCCTCTGATGACATCTCCCGGCACGTCCCCTGTATGTCCAATGCCCGAAACTCGCTACGAGGTTCCCATGCTCCGGACTTGAGATTGGACATCAGAGGTTGCAGGACTTTCTGGCCAGAACTCAATGGTGGGGCAGACAGCTCTCCGGCAGTAGGCATGTAGCTGAGGGCGTACACTGATGGTGGAGAAGCGATTCCTTGGGTAGACAGTCAAGAGATGTCAAGAGTCACTGAGGCTAGAGAACCTGCAGAGTCCACACGCCTTTGCATTCCTTTGTCAAGCGGCGGGATCTTCAACGACTTCGAGATGTAGATGCCACCACTGAGGAGGTCAGGAGCATGCCACAGCTTCAATGCATGTGCCCAGTACAGATGCCAATGCGCACCCTTAAAAGAACTTCTGTGCGCCAATTCACTTCCTTCACGAAATACGAAGCTAATTCACTACATTCATGCTTCTATTTCGTTCTCTCGTTTCGTTCTTGCATTCACACGCCAACAATCATATTCGTGCGTTAACTTACAATATTATTATAGCGTCGTGTTCATTGCACTCACTACACCTTTATTATTAGGAAAGGGGGTTTTGTTAGGAGCGATCTACAGGACCCGTGAATTACATGACCGCGGTAATACTGTTAAGGGTGGTAATTCTTGATGCATTAGTAATACGTCCTAAAGGTAACACAGAAATCCTATTAATAGTTCAGGAGCAAATCTAATATATTATAAGCCCCGGGATGTTCCCCTTGTCCTAACAGTTCTTCATAGGGATTATGATAGGGGTACTACAATCCCTATTAAGGACTGTTAGCATAAGGGGGATCATCCCGAGATCCAGAGCGACCGGTGATCTGTGGAGGCTTGGCTTCGGGCTGTCTCCTGGAGGCGACGCTGCCGTACTTGCTAAAGGTGGACACAACCTGTCGCACTGATTGGTGGGGGGGGGGGGTTTAGGGGTTTAGGGTTTAGGGTTTAGGGTCTGGAGGGGGTGGGGACGGGAATGTGTCTTGACTTGGGGGCCCCTTGTAGCTACCTGTTTCATAGTAGGATTCCTGAACAAGCAGCCCCAAGAAGGAAGCCTAGCCTTGCACAAGCCCCCCACCCGCCCCCCCTGCTCGCCACTGTTCTCTTTGTTGCTGCCCTACCCCCCGTTGGCAACTTGCTCTGTTGCAGCTGTCACATGGAGGCCTCGCCGAAGGTGACGGAGCTCTTCCGCGGGAATCCTTCTTTGTCTCGGGCCTGGTCAAACACTGCATGCACGAGCTCCAAAAAAAGGACCCTGCAGGTTAACAAAAACCCCAGTGCAGGCTTGCATCGGTTGGGACTGAACACCGGCTTCTCCAGCTGCGGATATGAGGTAAGATTGCGGCAAGAATCTCTGTTGCAGACAGCGAGGCAAGCGCTGGTCGAGGGGAAAGCGACATGTTCTCGCTCTCACGCTTGACAGTCCACCACTATGAGTAGTACATGAGCTACAGGAACCCAATGAAGAAATAGGTGCTTGCCGCCTCAAGGAAGGCCTTCTTTAAACCTGCAGAGCACTTCCTGGCACTAGTAAACTAGTACTCGTCAAGCATCGTGACTGCGTCTGCTAAGACCTGCCTCTCAACCTCACTGTTGATGCAGCTTGTCCCTGACCTCCTTGACGAAACAAGTACTGCTGCGGCCGAGGAGTTGACAGGAAAAGTCACGAGTAGATGTCCAAAGGTGTCCATATTGCAAACTCACAACAGCAAAAAAGAGGCCGTCTGCTTTTAAACGTGTCATACCTGCTCGTTGCGAGCAGTCACCAAGTCCGCGAACTCGTTTTGTCTCATTCCTTGCTCTGGTGGTGTGGCGTCCTCAAGAACAAAGTGATAAACTCTAAATATCTGTTCCAAAATTCATGCCGTAAGAGGAGACTGGAGATCATCGATTGGTGTTGCTGTGCGGAGCAGATCCACTGTCACCGGAGGGCGAGGGCCGCGCCGAACTAGCAAGCTGCATCGTAAATTCAGCCCAGTCACTGCCAGCTCCGCCGTCCCGTCCAGTGCCGCATGCTTCGGGCCTGCGACTCAAGAATGCGGCCTCGAAGGCCCAATCTCTCCCTGGGATTGCAAAACCCGCTGCACCGTCCAAGTCAACGCCCTCGGTCAAGACGGAAGGTAAAAGCTCTTGCTCAACTGAAGACCCTTCAAGCAACAACCTTTTTGTTCAAACGACCAAGAAAAGCGAAGCCCTTCGCCCCAAAACCCTCCACTAAAAAAGGCCAAATCTCTGAACCCCTGCAACCCTGCTCCACCCACCAGAAGATTTAAAAATAAAAAATGGAAAAGCGGCACCAAAAAAAAACGACGAACAACAAAAAAACATCAGACAACAATCTCATCATACCGATCCACCTTCAGAGGGTGGAAGTCCAGGCTTTTGCCCGTCAGGCGACCTCTGTGCGTGCTTGGGTGTGCGCATGGGTGCGGGGTTGGGAGGTTTTGGGGTTTAGGGTTTTAGGGCTTCAGGTTTGAGGGTTTAGGGGTCTAGGGCTGTTGGGTTTACGGGTTGGGGGGGTTTGGGGTTCAGGGTGGGTTTAGGGTGGCATTCTCTGGTCCAGCTTCCGGCTCCTGGAGGGCACAGTTTGCTGGGCTAATGGGCGCTCAGGGTTCGAGGCCTGTGGAGTTTGGCTGGAAGGCCTGGCGTGCTCTTTGGGCATCTTGTGGATTTTAAGGACTCTGCGGCTTAGGGTGTAGGAGTTTCCAAACGCAGCGCCTCAGAATTGTCGAAGCTTCATCAGTTGAGGGAGGAGCCTCCAAGCCCCGCGCTGCGCAGGGGCTGCGCAGGTCGCTCTTCACAACCCGAAGCCATCCAACATCCAGAGCTCTCTACGAATACACGCCGAGTTCCTCCAACCTCCAGCGCTTCCCGAAACCCTAAACTCTACATTCTAAACCCATTCTAATCCCTAGACCCTAGACCCTAAACCCTAGACGCTAGACCCTAGAACCTAAACCTAAACCCTAAACCCTAAACCCTAAACCCCACCCCCAGCCCCACCCACGCCTGAAAGCCCTTGAGCTGGACCTCGTTTCCCTTGCGGAGGGCGGGATGCCTTGGGTTCACGCTAGATTTTGGGGGGGGACTTTCGGGGTTTAGGGTTTAGGATATACGAGTAGGGTTTAGGGCTTGGGGTCTGAGGGTCTAATAATATCCAATAATCAGGACTGCGGGCCTTGGCATCTTGGGGGAGTTTCATGCAGTCTGGGGGTGGGCTTGCAGTTGCAAGGGCACAGAACGCAACCGCAGAATGCCATGCTGCAGCCGAAGGTGCTCTTTCGCAGGGTGGAGGCTGTGTCCCAAAACTTGCAATCCACCAGCCTTGGCTGCCTCGTAAGCTGCGAATGCGATTCTGAAAGCCTCTCCGCAGCCTTGTTCACCACCGGCGGCTTCTGCCATTGGACCAGTCTTGTCTGGGTGCAGTGTGAGCAACATGAATAAAAATTGTCATTGCAAAATCCGCTCGAAATCATCTTTCGGAGGTGTCAGAGAGGCACTCGACTGGGGTCGAGGCCTGGACCTTGCACTGGGCCCTCACAGGGAAGTTGCCAGGACTGTCTTCTTCCTTCAGGACAAGGAGCCGGCGGTTGTTCAAGGAGACAGGCCAGCGCTGGTCTCCACGCACGGCAACTGCAGGAATGGCGCTGTAAGCCTGCCTTTCGCTCAGGCCAACGCAGGAAGGCTTCGTTCGGAGCCTGCCTGTAGGAGCAGGCGGACGACTTCCAGATGACCGGGCCGAACTGGACATGGCTAGTGCTTCCGAAGCATACTAGCTCACCATCCGCTGCTTCCGCTTCTTGCGATTCCCAGGCCGTCGCGGTGGCCCGGGCTTCTAAGAGCAGCTCGACAATCTCGCCGCGACCTTTAAGGGCAGCCCCACTCGGTCTTTCAGGTCTGGATTCTGTGGCCTCTGCAGTATTGCTTCAACCTGTTGTACCGCGCCCCGCTTTACGGCGCCCATGAGCTTGCCCGACTGCTGCTTCGACGTGAAAGGCTGCAGAACCAGCTGAAGGTTACTGGAACCAGCGCCCTAAACCTAAACCTAAACCCTAAACCCTAAGCCCTGGTTCCAGTAACTTTCTTGAAGCCCTTGTCCAGCCCGAGCCAGGTAGGCCCCTCCCTGGCCAGCGATCGGAACTCGTCCTCAAAAGCGCGCATGGCGGTAGTTTAGGGTTTAGGGTTTAGGGTTTAAGGCTTAGGGTTTAGGGTTTAGGGTTTGGGGTTTAGGGTTTAGGGTTTAGGGTTTAGGGTTTAGGGTTTAGGGTTTAGGGTTTAGGGTTTAGGGTTTAGGGTTTAGGGTTGCACCAGAAGCCTCAGCTCAGCATTTAAACAACTAGTTCTTATGGGTATCTATCGATATTTATTGTCATTCTGCAAAATGCAATATGCAGATACTCTAGTCTCAGGCTCTGCAGGTTTTGATGGGCCACTGGGGACTCAGGGCTTCGCAGGGTCTTGTTGCACCCCGGGTTGGGGCTCCTGGTCACCCTTTAGGGTCTAGGATTTCCGGGTTTAGGTTGCGGATAATCATCCATAAACCCTAAACCCTCGTCCCTCAACCCTAAACCCTTGTCCCTAAACCCTAAAGCCTTCAAGGTACCAGCTGCCAGCACCACGCCGTGCATCCTCTGAAGAAGTCAGATTCCACCAGACGTCTGGAGCACGGCACCCACCACGCCACCACCACCTCAACCCATGGGTTTAAGCTTGGAGCCTTTTGCGCCGCATGATGAAGGACTTCAAGGATCCAAAGTTGGGGCGTTGAGGCTTCAGGAACCCAACCACCCCCCTCCCGCCTGGGCAGTTGAGGGCCACTTGCCCATGATGCAGCCGAGCTTTGCACCGACGGCCATGTGGAGCGTCGCAGGCGCATTCTCGAACTCCAGAACTCGGTCTACCTGCTTGAGGGTTGCAAGGCGCAACTTGCTTGTTGTACGACCGAAGGATGACGAGAACATTTAGTTCTGAGGTGATGACTCCTCTCGTTTTTTCGTGCGTGGATGAACTCCTCGATGTTCGGATCTTTCTCGACAGTCACCTGATGCATCGAAGCACTAGCTTGACCCACTCCTGACCAGTCGGCACAACAGCCCATGCCGCGAACAAGCCCTGAGTTCGTCGCCGTGTTTCCGGTGTTCCTTCAAACTCCAGAGGCAGCGGTTGTTGCGGCCTCGGGTCAGCAAGGCATAGCAAGACGCTAGTTTCTTCGACCATTGAATCATGCCTGGCTCGGAATCGCTCGGCTCATGGCATATGAGCTTGCCGCCGACTTTCATCGCTGCAACTTCAGAAATGCGCTGGTCTTTGGAGAGACCTGGAGAACGCGTCGGCCCAGCACTATGCCAGGACGCACCACGCATCCCGCACATTTCGCAATTCTTTCGGCAAATGCCAGGCTGCTAGGTATAATGAACGCTATCCTTCTGCTAAGTGAGCTCTGAAAGCTCAGCCTGCCTGACCGAATCTTCGATGGTCGTCTGCAACTTGCAACCGCAGGTGGATCTTTCGCCAATGGTGTCTTGCGAAACTCATCTCATCGACAGGAACTTCGGCATCATGTTCGCGAGTGTCGCGGCGCCTGAGCTGCTTGCATAAGAGCCACATTCGGAAGACCGTGTAAATGAAGTCATGTGAAGATGTCATGGAGATTCTTGGAGAGCCCGCTTCAGAAGAACCCTCAGCCCCTGACCTCCAGCGCCTTTAGTCGAGGCAGATCAGATCCTTGCAGCTCACGAAGCTAACAGCTAACAACTAGCTCTAGATCCGGACACAGATGCTAACATTGCACAATCGCACTGTGCAGCTCCCTACAGGCCCTACTGCATAGGGACGTGATGCCTCGACGAGGTCGATGGCAAGCGCTGGCGCAGGAGCTGCCTGCCTCGTTAAGCAACGCAGAACAAGTTCAAGAACTGTCGGGAAGGTAGTTGTCTTCTATCACAGACTACGTCAGCTAACACAAACGCTGCTCCGCCTGAAACAACCCCCGGAGATGCTGGGATTGGCCCTTAGCCTTTGCTAAACCGGCAGGCGATCTGGCTCGTGAGCGCGCCTGTTCTGCAGATCAGTGGTGTCGGCTGCTTCTTCCACTGTCAGCGGGTGGTAGTCCTTCGCAACGGCAATCTCACTGGACACGGCACATACCAAGACCGCAGACTCCACGAATCCCCAGCAGGAATCCCTGTCCTTCCAGCTCCCATCGAGGTTCATTGGGACGTTGTCCATCCTCGGGCCTATGCCAACTCCTCGTCTCCCACCATTCCAATTTCCTCCTCCTGCAGACATCAACTCTTGATGGAGGTTCCCACACAGACAGGTAGGTGTATCGTGGTTTGAGCAAACAAGGATCAGCAGAGCCCGTGCACACACTGAAGAACTGAACCGGTGCGAAGATGCGCCAAGTGAAGTCTTCGTTTGCAGCCGCGGCACTTCGCGCGAAGAAGCCGCTGTGTCGATTCCTGTTCGGGTGCTGCTTGACACAAGAGGTTCTGGTTGCCCTACAAGAGGAGTCTCATCTCATCCCCGCAGCACAATCTCCACACAATTCATGCCTGGGAAGATGGTCAACCTAAACCCTAAACCCTAAACCCGAAACCCGAAACCCGAAACCCCATTCAATATGAGAAAACTTCGTCATTCTGTCTCGAGCTGCCGGAATTGCTGGCGCAAAACCCACCAAGAGTCCTCCTCCTCAACCCTACACCCTCAACCCTAAACCCTAAACTCTAAACCCTAAACTACCCTAAACCGTCCTCCTCTCGTCTTTCAGCGCCTCTTCAGGATCCGTTCCTTAAAGTCCAACTTGGTGTTTTGGGTTTAGGGCTCAGGATTCAAGGTCTAGGATTTAGGACGTAGGGCCGGTTTAGCGTTTCTAGAATACTGGATCTGGATGGCTGGGCCAAATCTCACCAGCTAGCTGCAAACAGGGGTCTCTGAAGCAAAGCAAGGCGATTGGCAGCAGCTTTGTTGATGGTCTCCGGAACATCCTGAACAAGCGAAGCAGCCTGCAAGATTCGAATTTTCTGTGTCATTTACATGGCTACTCGCGGGTCGATGCTTGAGTTTTGAATGATTCTTGCTCGCAGCATTTTGGTCAGGAGTCTCAAACAAGCAAGATTTCGCGAATTGGAACCCCGGCCAATAACCTACCACACAGGTTGAGAGCAGGAGTACCCAAAGGGACATTCTTTTCCAAGAAGAGGCTTGGGAATAGTGCATGCGTCCTGACCCAGGAGCTTGAGCAGGGTGGACAATTCCTGTGCCTGGCTGACAACTGCTTTCCCGGTGGGACTTAGGGTTTGGGAGTTTGGGGTTTAGGGTCTCAGGGACTCCAAAAACTGATTCCAGGATTGTTAAGTAACCTACCCAAACAAGGTCTGGGGGGGTTCTAGGTAGGGCTATACAGGCAGCCCTTCAAAACAAGGCAGCAACTTCCCAGTTTAGGGTTCAGGGTTCAGTGCAAACCGCACCCATGCTCGGGAGCTAGAATTCACCATGCAGGCGATTCAGCCAAGCAGTTTCGAGCCGCGACCCTCCCGGCGCCTGAAGCAAATCCTCCTTGCGGAAGCGGGGCAACAGTATTATCTCTGCTTGCATGAGTCATGTGGGGTGCAGAAGCTGTTGTCCTTTAAAGCTGCCTTTAAGAGTCTTCAGCCCTCTCTCTACGCAACTCAAGAATTCCGAAACGCCGGTGGCATTCTCTCGGTGTGGGGAGGCGGGGGGGGTTAAGGCTTGGAGGTTCCATCCCAAGGGCTCCTGGCAGAGGAAAGTCAGGGCTGATCCCGGCCCGCTTGCCCGAGCAGCAAGGCGGATTCTCTGCCTTGGGGGGTTGGGAGGGGGCTGGGGAGGGAGGGAGGGGTGGTGGGGGAACATTACTAGGAAACCATCAGTTGGCATTCTTAGGAGAACCTTGATGGTTTGGCAGGTGTGGGATGCCTTCGGGTCTGGGCCATGTTCCGCGCCTAGAGACCTGCAAGCTAAAGCCAGGCAGAGTGCACGAAAAGGCAGCCACCAGTCCAAGCGTGATCGCCAAGGCGCAAGTACTCCAAAGTAGATGTGGGCATGTCGTAGTTGACCAGCCACTTCACCTGCCGCACCCAGCCACAAAGCGTGAACCCTGGGGATCTCGAACGATCCCTCATGCCCCAATCCCTGGAATTCGAGCGAATCGGAAACATCTCTGGACCCCGCACGGCCTTCGGAAACTCGAAGCCGCGCCCGAGCATGGTCGTGGCCTTCTCTTCCCACGT